CACCACCACCACCACCACCACCACCACCACCACCACCACCACCACCACCACCACAACCTACATAACTACCTCCTCCATCATCATCGTTAACATCGACATCTTACAAACAAAAACAGCACTGCGAGCGTATTCCAGAAGCGTTTCTCGTCTTGCAAGACGCGCTGAGCTGGTCATTTGAAGATGAAATGATTCACTTTTTACAAAAAACAGATTGTTTAAGATAGTTCCTTTAATGCTTCGGAGTTGGCACATAGAAATTGGTACACTGAGAGGATAATGCGTTTATAGACGGTTACGAAATCGCCAGGTACCAGGAAGTATCCGATATGGAGGAGGGCTAGTGGGACCACGAGAGGCAAGTATTCACCCACCAATCGATCGGCACACGTGGCAGACGCATGCCGGGGGACCACGCGTTCACCACATCGACGCCTCGGCACACACTCAACAAGTTGTGCGCCGGCGATATGGAGGAACAAGGCATAACCGCCACAATTTCTGTTCTGATCGCGCCTCCACTGTCCATTGCTCCGAGTCCAGCCAATGACGAGACAGAGCAAGGTGATAATGCCGCGGACAGCCCCGATAACCTACCTAGGGACGCAAATAACCACCAGACTTCACTCATGATGGTCCCCTACGTCTCACCCACTGTATTCACCACCCAGCTGCACACTCATGGGATCCCAAACGACCCCCCTCTGATCCCCTATCCTTACGGTGAAGAAACGAAGGCTTTTTTCGCAAATCTTAGGCTAAAACTAACGTCTGTGCCGCAGTTCCTGATAGACTTTATGGGTGCGTCGGCAATTTGCTAATCCCGTGTGATTTAAGTTTGAAATCAGCGGTTTTTCTTGTTTTACTGAAGTGTGGTAACTGCATCGTCAATAAGTCCAACTTCCGTTTCTGACTTGCAGGCTACGTACCGAATTCTGAGATTCGACAAGCCGTTGGGAGTTGGGTCACTTCTTACCTTGAGGTAAGCTATTGCGAAATTGCCCAGGAGTACCGATAATCTGGTGAAGAATCAGATGTCCTTTCAGCGTCCATGCAAGTTCGACTTTGCTTCCAATCACAGCACGTTTTTGTCTGTTTTGCAGGAAATAAAACAGCGGAGATCGGATCTTCCTGTCAGATTTGCAGCGCTGAGATTTAAAGCTAATGAATTCAGTGTAAGCGATTGGTTGCGCTATTAAGGCTAATTGATCACTTATTAACGCTAGCGTATTTGACTATATGATGATAATTGGATAACACGTGGATTTGCGTAAGTTACTTTTTTTTATCGAATTTCACAGGTAATTCATCTGTCGCACGTGATTGGGTTTTGAAATAAATTTCACAAAGTGTTGTAAATGTCACAATGAGGTCGATCTACGGATCCCAAATAAATTGAGACAAATTCCCTAAACCCAACCAATCAGTGTTTGCAGTGTGTTAAGTAAACACCCGACCAACCAAAAATGATCATTTGACCAACCAATCAAAAACCGCATCGAAGATTTGTGAATTTGTTAAAAGGATGTCAGTTTATTGTTGCTATTTAATAAGGAAAAGTTGAATTTTCATTCTATTTTTTTTAAAGTACAATGAAGATGACTACGCAGAGGACGCTGTCATTCCGCCGAAAATCTTGAAGCACATCAAACTACGCGACAAAGCCAAAGCCGTGATGCTTAACACCCTCATGCGGAAGGACGGCAAGTTGACTGAAGTCACTCAGATGATGCTGCCATTCGACGATGACGACGACGATTACATAGACTTCGAGGAAGAGCCTCAAGTGAGCAAGGCGGATGCTGAGCGACTCAAGAGAATTCGACGCCAAGTGACGAGGGATTTTTTGAGTCAAAATGTCCCCCTCAGGGGTACGTCATCTTCTCCAATGAAATTCATCCAACGAGTGGTCTTTGCAGCCACTTTTTCACTTTCAAACACAAACGGGTTCCTCAGCTTCTAAAGATTCACTGATTAAGTGAAAAAATCTGACTTTTCTTGTCAAATAAGCTATCTAAAACCTAAATTCCAACGTTGAGGACGAGGTTACTGGGAGTTATTTCTTGTGTCGTTTTGCAGAAAAACGCCGAGAAAACAAGGTCACTCATTACAACACGTTCACAGCCCCTAATACCGCCACTAGCATCACAGCCCCAACATACCAGGAGGGTGTTAGTCCGGCAGCACCGGAGACGCCAGAAGACATCGGCAAGAAGGAAGGTGGTCCGGCTGCGAGAAAGCTGGAGGCGAAGTCATCGACGAAGGCACCGAAGGCGGAAGACACCAAACCCGCCTCGCTGCTTCCTCACCGCGACGTCACGGCGATTTTGGAAGCTCTTCGAGGAATTGTGGGAGGAAGTGACGCAGCAGCGTGCCAGGTGATCGCTGGCTGTCTGTTGGGCAACCGTGACAACCTCACCACCCTCGCAGCTGTCATTACCGACCCGAGCACCCAACAGAACTTCCTGCGCACCATCCAACAACCCACCTACATGTTTTACCTCCTAAACTCCCACTTCAAGTCGCCTCGAACCGTCCTCAATATGATCAGCATCGTCGTGTCCGACGACTCCACCAAGACCGTCGAGAGAATAGCTCTAACGAAAAAACTGAATGAGTGCCTTGGCCAGGCCAAGAAAAGCAATGTCTTGGTGAACTTCGTGAAGGCGTTTGATGAGACCTGTGAGGTTGCCGTATTGGAGTTGTTGAAACGCGTCAGTACGGGTACTGATTTGGACGAGGTGAAGTCGGCATTCCACGAGTCCCTCTGTGACGAGGAGATCCAGATGGCCGAGCTGGCAGATGCAGCGCAGCTGGAAAAAGCAGAGTTGGAGACAATTGTGCAACTAACACTCTCCTGTCAGATCGAGGAGCTGAGAGCCTTTTTTGCTGACCTACCCATTCTCAGCCCCAAAGCATCAATGAGCATGGAGGTAGTTTGTTCGACTGATCGGTTCTTTTTTGGGATTGCTAAACTTTGGATTTTCAAATTATGCTTTGATTTTCATAGCTGTCACCGGATTTGTTCACCCAGCCGCACTTCCACGCTGAATCCCTAGAACCCCGGCTGGAAGTCCACGATGTTGTGACAGAAAATGCCTCCGACGAAGAAGAACTAGCTGGAAAGAAGTTTTACACCGAGAGGAAGAGTCGCTATAGCTCTGTGAGACCATCGGTAAGGATTTAGCCACTGATTAACTAAAGGGACTGCAAATAGCACGTAAAAAGAACGTGGTATGCTCAGTGTAAACACTCTGTTTTTGCACGCGTTTTTCTCAAATTATCGCCGGAGATTGGGCTTACTCTTCAAAAATTCAATGCATTCACAAGTGAGGTGCATCTAGGTCATAGGTAGCATATCATAATTTTCTCGAATTCTTGGATTCTCGGAATTTCAATCAGTGATGTTTTCTGATTAGCAGATATTTGATGACGATGATGACGACAGTCTGCGGCCTCGACCAGTAGTTAAAATGAAACCACCACCTTTGAAAGTCAGGATGCCGATTTCGCCAACCGAGGCGCCAACCTCCCCCTCGACGACCTTTTTCAGGAGCAGAACGGTCAAACGACGAGCCGACAATCGATTCGACGGCAAGAACACTCGTTCCCTCGCAATCCCCGCGTCGGTACTGGCCGATGGAGCTGCCTCGTCGACGCCGCCAAGTATCACCGTGGAAACGCAGGATGAAGACGATAGCTATGGCGAGGAGATGTCGCTGATCAGTGACCTTGTTTTGCCCGACTTGTTGAGCCCTGAAAGCGAAAGTGAAAGCGCGCAAACCCCTACGGAGGCGGCAAAGCCCCAGGCGGTTCGTATAAAGTATAGACGATCACGGAGGCATCGTCGGCAGAAGAAGGCGGAGGAAGTACGCGAGAAGACAGATTCGGCGATTTCATCCTCTTTAGGTACGGACACTGCACTCTGATTGGTTGATCGATTGATGACACGAATTTCATTCGCTGAGTGTATATCCTGCATTCATTTACGTAATTGGTTGATTGGTTGATTACTAGAATTTCATTCGCTGGTGGATTTGCGTGGAAAAGAGAATGCAACATTACCTCTAATTTGTAGGAATTGTAATTATTGATATCAATTTGGTAGTTTCAAGGAAAAAGTGCAAAATAGCCATGTTCTGCAGTGTATAACTAGGTGGGCGATTTTTAAACCATTTTAGCTAACTCTCTAGTGTATTATTTGTTCCCATTTTAGGCTCGTCGGTGCAGGAAAGGGTATGTCACTATTTATTTTTCAGTAGGAGTTATTTTGAATGCTAAAAGAGCTACATATCCCTAAAACGTGTTTCATCGTAACTACATGCTACGATAATTTAAGTGGTTGATTTTGACGTATTTGAGTATGAAAAACGGCAATGAATCAGAAATCTACAATGGGCCTGAATTTTCACACACACCACACTACATATTGTTTTAGCCAATGACGGAAGACGAGATTCGGCAAAAAGCAATAGACGATGAAGTAACCTGCATGGATTTGATTGCAATGCTAAAAAGCCTCAATGACCTGGAGGAGGCCCAGGGCATACTTAAAAAACTCCGACGGATTATCAGGTAATGTGTCTATTTTCTACGAATAATTTCATCTCAATCCACAGAAATGTAGAAGGCACAATGGACGTTGAGGCGCTAGTTCGAGTCTACGATGAATTAAAAGATTCCTCTACTTACCTCGAACGCCAGATCGAGGCGCTACCGCCAGACAGTGGTGACGGAGAGATTTTGCAAAAGATCGTTCACTTAATTGAGCATACCTTAGAAAACCTTTTCAAAAGTGAAGGTGTGGAGCAGACGGTGGATGAGGATGTGAGTAGTTTTACCAAGATGCCTTTCATTCTGTATTTGTTTTTGATATCGAAATACCTACACGTAGCAGCTTACCTCAAGCTCATTGGTTGCTTGCTATTTTCGCCCAATCAATCACTGGTTTCAGCCTGCAACCAGGCCTCATTGTCTGATTGGATGCTGCGTGTCTGCATTTTAATGGATAATGATAGGTTACAAATGACCAGATCGGTGCCTATGATCATGCCATTGGCTGACTAGAAGCCTAATTTAAACAAAATAATTTTGCGCTCAACTTAAACCGAAATGGAGGTGGTTTCGGTTTCAGTTTAATTGCTACCTCCTGACTTGTTGTGTTGAAAACTAACCTTTTAAGTGAATTTAAAATTTCTGGGGAGTTGGTATGACCTTGACTCGAGCCTTCTTGAAACTTTTGGCTGATGTGAAAGCGAAAAGTTAAGCGTCTTAGTTGGCATGGTCCTAGTGTTGTTGTTGCTGCTGCTGTTTTTACCCAAAAAACAGGCCGACAATGCCCTCGAGAGTACTCCTGTCAGTGAGTTGGCCATGGTTGTGAAAACCCGCATGCTGATTGAATCAATGGTTAGACGTCGAAATCCACCGGTAATTCGACAATCCGACAAACTCAACATCGCCGCGAGCTCAAGCACCGAGTCTAGCCCCTCTAGCGATGGAACCGTCGCTTACTCGGCGGTTCCGAGGGGTCAGGAGGAGACCGCCCAGGAGGCCGCAGAGACGTTGGACTTCCAGCCGACGGAGAAGATGGGTCTGGTCGCTGAGGTCGCCATTGGCAAGATTGGTCCGACGGACCGCAAACGCCCCGACGCTGCCGTCAGCAGCAAGTTGGTGCAGTCCATTCGTCGAAAGAGCACCGGAATGTCCTCCCAGGTTATCAAAGAAGACCTCCAACGACGGAATCAGACGCGGGCGTTGATCGAGAAGATGCAGAAACGACTGGGAATCCTTGAAGAGGGCAAGGATGCTGAGAATGCCATTCCGCGGGCACTGAAGCCAGCTGAGGTGCGCGAGGCCTTGGCAGATCCCGAATTTGAGGAGATCGCGCAGGAATTCAAGGATCTCTATGGAAGGTGAGTGCTGACGCGTGTGTTCACCAATTCTTTATGTGTGTGCGGAGGCTAAATTATCTCTTTTGTTGCAGTCCAGGCAAGAAATCGAGCAGCGAGAGTGTTTTGAGCAAAATCGCCCTGCAAATGGACTCTATCTGCACGAAGGTTGGCGAGATGCCAGCCATTGACAAGATGGTGAACTTGCTTAGTGTCCTGAAGGTTCAAGATCAAAGATCTACAGCAGATGAACTGCTAGACGAGGTAAATGGCCTTTTATAGTTGGTGTGTGTTTCGGACGCAAAATCGAACACATACAACCTCCTTTCATTCAGTACCTCGAGGAGCTGAATTCGGACGAACTCAAGTACCTCGAAGACATGATGAAAGTGGTGAGGGAAATACTGTTAACAGAGATCGCGATAACTGCTACGATGCCTCCACCGCAACGTCTAGCGTGGATGTCGATTCGTGACAATTGGGAAAAGCACCGACAAAGCCTTGCCATCCTGGGCCAGCTCCTACAGTATGTTCGTTTCCTTTTTTTCTTAAACTACGCCGATTTTTGGTAAAATACCCCTGTTCTTAGGAGGCATTGGTTGATCGGTGACCTTGAGTTAAATATCTAGAGTATTTAAACAAAGTAGCACCTATGATCTGGCAGCTTCGTGCATATATCCTAAAATACCTCATTAAGGACATCAAATAGAATTTGAAGCCTCCGAGGCATTACTCAGAATTACGGCATGCTAAGCATTGTTATTGATACAGCACAGATGGTTGGAGGCAATTAACGTGTTAAGTGAGATTTCTATCGCTTTCTATAACTTTCAAAAAGGCTCCAAGTTATTTCATCAGATCTTGGATCTATCATTGTCTCTGCCTTGGTAATGAACGTGTTCGATGTGATTGCTGCGTTCAATGTGCGAGATGTTATCACAACCGATTTAGAGAAAACGCTGTACGCCTATGTCAAGGATGAAATTGAGGCGTTGTCGTGGTTCGGGGTGAATGTAAGCAACCACGATGAGTCACTCAAGGTACGTCTTGCCTACTGTCTCCCACTACGCGTTACAATGTTATGCTTTGATTGGTCGAATATTTTGATTGGTCAGTTAGTGGTGACTGGTAGTCAACAGCTGATTGGCGTGAATGCATTAGCAAATCTCATGTCCTGTGTTAAACTGAGGCACACTTTAATGAAATTATAGTTTTCGTAAATAAACGTGTTGTGTTGGACTTGCTGCATACGTACCTGTCACTTAGCAACTTCCTCTATTCTAATTTGACAGTTTTTTGATGATATAGGATATAATGATAAAGGATATAATTGCTAATCATTCTTGTAATGCGTCTTACAGCCACTAATGGAGGAGTACGACGCAGATTTAGGGGTAAGTAGATAATTCTTGCCACCAATAACCACCTCGTCTAGAATTTATTTGGCTCTGAAAGTAACCAGGATGTAATCACTCCCAACGTGGACAAGAGCTGTAAGTCTACTCCATGAAATTCAAATTTATAATCACACCAGAGGCTAAAATGCTTATGTTAGAGTGAAGATTGTTTGTGTTGTTTAGTGGTGGATTTGGTTGTCGCGCCAGGCTACATGTACGTCCTTAAAACGGGCGCCGAGAAAGGATTTGCCGTCGCCATTGTAGACTACCATAGCGAGCGAATCTCATTCATGGAGTACATGCTCCGCTTGAGAAGAGTTGCTCTCCGAGTAAGATATTGTGCATGATTGGTTCATTCTTACATATCATGTCTTTTTATGAGCACGTAAAATCTCTGACGTCCAATCAAAACAGGTTTCGCAACCAATCACTTGAATAGATCAAAGTCACGGTCTATCGATTTTCCACTTTTGGCGAATCGTTGAAGCTTACTGTGTCTGGAAGTTACTGTTTAGTAGTGATGGGTTCTGCCACGTTTGTAGGCGATTCAGTCGACGTATAAATGCTTACAAAATGTTTATTGGCTAACTCAAGGCCTCTCGAAGTGGTTCAAAGTCGATCGATACTGAATTGGGGTCATTCGTTGTTAATTCTCGCGCAAAATCCCCGCTATGAACCCAGAAACAAAGCGTTTGAAAGATTCCCTAGGAATTATTTACTCCCTGGTCCAGAATACTAACAAGACCACAGCTGCTGATCATTGCTGCGTATATTTACTTAATCGAAACGGTGTGACCACGTTTGCTATTGCGCTTTTACCTACAAACTTTGTATTTGAGCTCGTAATTGCCGTATTTTCTGTCCGCCATATTTTGCTTACAGTCACAGCACCGACTGCAACCAAAAATTTCACCGACCGATCTCATGGCTGAGGAGATTGAAAAGGCGACCGCTACAATACGAAACACCGCCACGGTAAGCCTGTCTGATTGGTCTACTTCTGATGACTCATACACTCACATCCGTAAACCCCCAGATGATATACTTAATTCAAGCAACTTCCTTGCAAAAAATTGTCTTGTTTGTCAAAAACCCAACGGTTTTTTTCTAAAATTGGGCGTATTTTACACAAGACAAGCGGTAATAGGGTCACAGAAAGGACGAGTTGGTGGCTCACGATTTGGTTAACTTAGATAATCTACGTTTGGCTCACTTTTGGATGTAAAAAAGGCGTAACTAGTGGGGCGTTGCCTTAGAGAATCATGGAGGTCTAACGACAAGGTCATTGCCACCAAGGTCGAAGCTGCTCTCGAAGCTACGGGGACCTATGAGCTTGCAGAGAGGAACTTCAGCTCGTTGTATTGCCGTGTCGTCGCTGAACCGCATTGTGACAAGGCGGGTGAAGTCTTCCGATTCGTGACTACAGCGCCTCTGGCACAGCTGAAGGACAATGTCGAAGACCTCCTCTTCACACGGTAAGTGGGGCACGCTTGGCCAGAAACCGCCGGGCCAATTTTTGATTCCTGTTTGTGCTTCGCCTCGCGCACATTTTAGAGACACTGATCATGAAATCCTGGGAGACTTAGAGGAGACTACTAA